ACTCTAATTTGTATAATAATTTATTGCAACCCCTCCATTGCAGAGCCTTAAAAAAAACTCTTTCAACGGCTCTGCTCCATCGTTAGTTCTAGCTGGTGACGCGGTGCTCAATGACAGTTGGGTGATTTTCCATCTCCACTTCCTGTGAAGTGATGTATCGATGTTCCCTTATTCCCTATGCCGTTCACAGTGCCCTTCCAACTGAACATGTTCACTCCCTTCTGATTGGAATCTCAATTAAGATGGCGGAATACCCTGTGAATTCCACATTACAGTCACTTCACCTCATGACACATGAAGGAACAGGGAATCACATGACTAACAGAGGACATGACTGTGGCAAACCTACAAAATAACGCTTCAAAATGGCAAATTTGCTCTTTCTCGCACTCATGTGAAACTCTCATAGCGCAGATTCCTATTGCAATGTCTGGATTTCACCCATGAAATTTCGCACAGCAACGATAAATGTGACCGCACATTTATTCTATCATCTGTTGACAAGTGGAAAGATTTGTACATTTTCTTCAGTAAGTCTAGCTGCCTTGTAAACAGAGCCGATCCTCCCTATAAGCAAAGTACGCAAGCTGCATAGGGCCCCCGAAACACCAGGGGTCAAGTTTCGTTTTTGAATTTGGCCAGCGGTTATGAAAACATGAATGTTAATTTCTTTTAATGTGGTGTGCTGTCGCCCTTTCTACGTAAAAATCAGTCAAATCATGTAACGTGAATGTCATACAGTCTCTTGCTCTAGACAAAAAAAAAAAAAAAAAACGAGTTGAAACCGTACCGAGCCGCGGAAGAGACACTGTTTCTCAAGCGCTTTCCGTGAGCGTGATTCAAGATGGAGTGAACACGAACAAAGACATTTTATTCATTCAAAACTAAATTCAAAAAAAGTTTTGCGTAGGGCCCTCAGAAGTCTAGGATCGGCACTGCTTGTAAAATTGACACCTAAATGCACATATAGGTTACCACTAATAGAAAGTAGGCTACTGAGAGTTTCTACAAGTAGAAGTTTTCTAAGGAATGAAATAGTGACCATTGCCGAAGGCATCTGAGTTATTTTGACATCTTTCAAATCCATTACAGATATTGTTGTCTTTCCGGACCTGAGAGACCTGGAGGTATGACAGTGATGTGTTGGGTTACATTAGCAGTGGTGCCTTGAGGGGGAACTAGGGACCTTTACTTTGATGGAATCTCCTTGTTTGAGACCCTTCCCCTTTCTCAAAGCCTCAGAAACATCAGTCTCCTGTTGAAGAGAAATATGATGTGGAAAATGGCCATTGGGTGATGGAGATTGATTCAGAAGAAACATGAGCAGTGATCAATATGGCGGCTTGTTCGCAGGAGAGATACACTTATTGCTGTTAGTTCAGCCACCTGGTGGATTCTGGGAGGAAAGCAGTCGACAGGGGAATGCCAGGCATGTAATTTATGATGGAAGTGTCAGACCAAGATTGATGCCATTTGGATGAAGGATCCAGTGAGATAATGAAAATAACTTTTTGTTGGACCAAAAAGAGGACAGTCAGAAATGAAATAAATGTAGCATGACATGAAATTTAATTCAGGGGAGGAATTTTCAGGAATCAATTTGCAGATACATTTCACCTAGAAAACCTGTTCTCGTCTGTTCGTCAAGCAAATTTAATACTTTCAATCAACAGAATGTTACATTTCAGAAGTCACAGACTCACCCTCAGTAGTCTCACTAAATCAGACCACCAGCCAGTATGAACCAATACTCAGCAGATTCAATTTTCATCAGTATTGTCATTTCTATGGGTTTCTATGGTAACAGAATTCTGGGTGGCACAGGGGGGATGTAATAATCAATAAAATAATGGATGGAGGTCAGAGCTCAAGAGGCAAACCAGCACAGTGTGAAAAGGTATTTTTGGAAAGCCAGGAACTCAAAAAGAAGTAATTCTTACCATTTCAACTTAGTTTTGAGTGATGCCCTTTGAAAAGAATCACTGACTGCAAAAATGTTGAGCGAATTTATTTATTTAAAAATGCATTTTAATAGTAAGAAATACAATTTTTAAAAATCTGACTATAGTGATTTTTTAAAACTATTTTTTTTTATTTGCAGTGTACATACAGTATATTCAAAAATAGTTTTGCATTTTTATCTGTAAATCTGCATTGGAAAGATTTATGTGAAAATTGCTCAACAAATCAATCTAAATTAACTTAATATTGGATTTAGTTTGTTTGTTTTGGATTTAGTACAATTACAAATAAAAGCCAAGTATTTAAGTTTTTTAAAAGCATGTTATCTTTATAATATCATGCATACTATTTTTCTATATTAAAATATTTGTTTTTTAACGATGAAAAAATGTAACCTTTATATTTTTGGAAGGGTGTCCTTTACAAGGTTGTCATCACTTATAGGGGTCCTTAGTTTGAAAACCTTTTTTTTTTAATAGCCACTGTGTTCAAGTTGATGCATTGCTAAAGACAGTCCGCCAAACATGTTCTGTCACCTTGGCGTCAGAGTTGTCTCCATGCGCCAGGAATAATCTGCAACCTAAATGTGTTCTCTCTATTAGTCCATTCATTTCCACCAGACAAGCACTGTCACACTGACGAATGGGAGCTGGAAAGAGCCAATTGTATTTGTTCAGTAAAGGGCCTTCATTCCCTTGAAACCCAAATGTCCCTCACAAAGAAAGCGATAACCCTCTCCCGACATTACCATAAGTCTCTAAAGAAACTCATCTGGGAAATCAGATGTTTATTACTGGATTCTTGCATGAGGAGTCAAATCAGCTACACCATTATGTTCTTGATTGGGCTTCTCGCGTACCGGTTTGCTTTGTGCACATCTGTCTGGCAAGAACATTATTCTGCAAATTTGTTTCCAGTTGCACTAATAGACAATTATATCTCTTCATCATACAGAAATTAGATTTCATAAGATATCTGTATTAAAAAAGGTTGAGACTGGTGGCTTGCTTATGAATATCAAGTATTGTCTGATTAATGCAGGTGACTGGAGTCATCACACTGGAGAAACTCCAGCAGCAAAACTGAGACAAGAGTTTCTGGCTTATATAAGTGACAATTAAAAATCAAGAATGAAAGCATGGTTTGGTGATTTTTTTTCACATCGTTTTTCACTTACTCACAGTAAACAGCATTTAAAGGAACTATAAAAATAAAAATTTGCAGAAAATGTGCTCATCCTCAGGCCATCCAAAATGTAGATGAGTTTGTTTCTTCATTGGAACAGATTTGGGCATCACAATAATCCAGTCCATCAATTAATGTCTTGTGAAGGGAAAAGCTGCATAAATAAATAAATAAATAATAAAAGTATAAAGAGGTTTTCTTCCTTCTCTATGAGCAAAGACAGAACTAGCCAAATGCAGCCAGATGCATGGTGCAAGCCTTGAGACCTACACACACATAAAGTGTGAATTCTGAGAAAGAGATCTGGCAGCGTTGCATCATGTGAAGTGTTTAGTGGACAGGGTTGTCACTGACAGCCAGGAACTCCATTTACACTAACAATAGAGATAGAACAGGCAGAAAGAACAAGTGGATATGGAATCTGCACATACATTATTATTATTATTATTATTATTTTATTTATTTATTTATTTTGGTTCTCAGTTGTCACAGCCTTTTTCCAGCTTTATTTATTTTATTGTACTGTTGTCTTTTTTTCACCCAAATGTTGATGCTTCGTTATCTTTTGCATGGTTTAAACCAAATAGCTGAGAAATATAACATATTTACTTTAGTTGAATATGTAAAACTGATTCGGGTGGATTTATAAGAAAAACTGCATGAATCTGTGACAGAAGAACCGTGCTTTTAATATGCTTGATTTTGGATGAAGATGGAATCATCTGCATCTCTGCACCACTTTTCTCAACATGCAGTTTGATTGGCTTTTTAATTACAGCGACATAAAAAACAAAACAAAAAAGTTGGCCTCAATCATCAGTATAATAAAGATTAGATTTTGGGTGCTCTGGGAATCCAGTTCCCTCTAAAGTGTACACTGCTGTCATAGCTTGTGTTGCTATCAACAGAGGAGAGAGAGGTGACAGGAACAATCACCATAAAAATTTCCCACAGGAGCTACTTGATCCTTTTAAATCACGTACAATGCAATGGTGACTTGAAGTTGGGAAAGGAGAGAGACTTTAGTCTCGGAGGAGTGGGGGGTGTCGAGCTAAAATGATAGAGGTTGCTGAGCAGGTCTCTTGTTGCACTTTTAGTGGTACTGCACTTCACTGCCAGACACATCATTATGGGATGTTGCTGTCGTTCTGTTTCTGAATCAGCTGTAAACATAAAAAAAGTGTTGCATTGAATATCCTGTTTCATTACAAAATAACATTTTATGAATTTCAACATTTTATGAATTTAAAATGGGATGCGAGCACTGTTCTATGCTTAAAAATAAATTTCAAACAGTATTAATGGAATAGTTCATCCAAAAAAAAATTGTGCTAAAAATGTACTAACCATCAGGCCATCCAATATGTAGTTTGTTTCTTCATCCAGACTGATTTGGAGAAATTTAACATTAGCTACATCAACTTGCTCACCCATGCATCCTCAGCAGTGAATGGGTGCCGTCAGAAGTCCAAACATTTCATAAAAAACAACAAGAGAAAACGCATCTCAAACCCCGTTGCACACCGTTTCCAGGATAAATGTTGTTCAAACCGGAAACCGTAGCAAAACGGTGCACACCGGTTTGAGCTTGAACTTGCCCCTGGTTTTAGCTGAGGTTAATCTGGTCTGACTAGTTTTTCTTGTGGCCACCAGCATATTTTGCTATGTCGATATGCAATGTTTTTTAAATGGGTGTTAAACAACATTTTGAGCAAGCCAACGTCACGTTTATTTATTTATTTATTGCCATTTTGTATTAATTACCAAAAAAAAACAACAAAAAAAACTCAGGACGGACGTAGGAACCTGTGTTTATAGAATTTTTTTCCGGACGGTTCGTGTAGTGCGGTACACAAGTCGATGTGTGTGGATTACAGGGATGCTGTGAAATGTGAGTGAATTTTATATAAATGTACTGTGTTTTGATGTTTATGTCTTGTTTATGAGACTGTGCATGGCACTCGCCTGTGATTTCCGTAATGTGATTAGCGTCTCTGAAAAAAAAATCTATCTAGAACCTAGAATCTTGAACAAAAATCGTCTACATTTTTGTAGGGTGTCTCTCTCTTACTATGCATTGCAGTTAAAATATAGTTTTACATACGGCGATATTATTTGCTGTCGTCGTTTTTATTTGGTTAATCGAATATATTCATATTAATACTCTATAACAATACTGTTGTATTGTGAATACCTTTCATACATAGCTAAATATGAAGCCTGTAATTTGTTATTAATGGTCAATCCACTTACATTTGGATCTTTAAGTGTATGACAAAAAAGCAAGATAGAGGTCAGTGGCATATACTAGATGCACTGTGAATATTTCTACCTGCTCTCTGTTCTAGATTGACACACCCAGTTTGTTTTTCTTGTCCAATGGGCTGACAGTGGGGGTGGACCAAAATGTTGAGTGACATTCCTCGGGACGCCCTCCTCCGCCCTCTCACCCGGAATGAGGTGGTGGGGATGTTGGTGAGACTGACCATCTTTGGAGCTGCAACATATTACAGCATCAAATGGGTGGTGGAGGCTTTTGACCCGACACAAAAACAAAAAAACCAGGCCAAGAAAAGGGTAAAGATATCTCTGCTACTGAATGTGTGCTGATAATAAATGTGGAAGTAAATACAATTCCAATGAATAATACATTCAATTTAAATACATCTTTTCATGTGAGCCTGTAGCTCAAAGTGCTTAAAAAAAGATTTGGAGTCAGTTTCAAAAACAGTTGATTCTTTTATGGCTTGGCCATTATTTGTTGGGAATTATTATATGGTATATTTATTTAAATAATTTATTTTAAATTGTTCAATTATTGACTAATTTATTTATTGTTTGTCTGTCTATTAATTTTACATTTATCATGTCCCCTCACTTTCCCCAGGCAGAGCAGTTGATGAAGCAAATAGGTGTAGAGGGCGTCAGTCTGACGGAGTATGAAATGAACATCGCAACTCTTCTTGTCGATCCACGCAGCATCAAAGTAACCACCAATACTGTTGTAATCAGTGCAAACCTTTCATCAAATCACACGGTGCCTCTCATTACATCAAAATTTTGCTGTTAGTGGTAATAAAGACAAGAGTTTTGTAATTGGTTGTCATTTTACATCGTCTGTTCAGCTTTAGTATTACTATTCAAACTGATTTCGAACTGAATTGTGTTGACAGATTGGAAGTCGTTTCTCTGTTCACACCCATGAAGGTGTGACCTGCAATCATTATAAGCACTGGCCTCCCACCAGCCTTCCAAGTCATTAGTAGCTTGTATGATAGAATATCTTCCTTCTTTTCCTTGTAAGGTGACCTGGAGAGATGTTGCTGGACTAGATGAGATCATCTCAGAGCTGCAAGACACTGTCATCTTGCCTTTCCAGAAACGTCACCTCTTTTGTGGTTCCAAACTCTTGCAACCTCCCAAAGGTGAGACATGGAGAAAGCACACGAAACCACAGTTCTATTGGGAGTGTGTGTTTTCTCTCCTATTTTTATTGTGCATTAGGGCTACACGATAAATCACATTTTTATCATGATCGTGTTTATTGCTTCTCTCAGTTAATTAGGCATTATTATCTGCAATATTTACCTAGTGGTTTATTTATTTATCTGATTTTTTTTTTTTTCATTTGCGTTATTTTGTGTTGGTCACAAGCATTAATGCTGAGGGTTGCCAGATTTCAAAGCTTTTTTTTTTTTAATAAATGCAATTTTTGTCCAGTGTTTATCCACTATTACAGTCCACTATCAACGTACTCAGCGTATCTGGCGACCACACTATCTGCACTAAGAAAAAAAGCACTAATAATAATCTGAAAACGCCAGAAAACATGTATGTTGGAGTTTAGCAATCTCTGTTGAGAAAATCTGCTCAAATGAAAATATAATAAAGCAAATCTGTGCAGCCCTATTGTACGTTATATGAGAAATATGAAAGTAAAGATTGTTATTCATAATTTCTTTTCTGACTCCCAGGTGTACTATTGTATGGGCCACCAGGATGTGGAAAGACTTTAATTGCGAAAGCAACAGCGAAAGCATCTGGATGCCGCTTTATTAATCTCCAGGCCTCCATTGGGGTTAGTGAATTTTTTGAAAGAAATTACTGCTTTTTTTTCCAGCAAGGATGCATTAAATTAATTCTAATGTTGCTAAAGATTTATATTTCAAATAAATATTTTTTTTTTTAAGAAAAGAAAATTAAATTAAAAGAAACTTTTTTTTTAAAACTTTTTATTCACCAAAAATCCTGAAAAAATAGAAGTATCACAGTTTCCACAAGTATATTAAGCGGTACTGTTTTTAACATTGATAATAATCAGAAATGTTTCTTGAGCACCAAATCAGCGTGTATTCTCACTGGCTGTCAAGATTCAGCCCTGCATCATTTTCATTGATGAAATAGGTAACTACTGAATATGGTCTAAATATCTGGCAGATATTTAGGGATTCCAGACAGATAGGAAAAATATTAAAATGCCAGCTTGTTGAATGTGCTGAATAAATTCACTCAGCACTACTACGGTGATAAACTTAACGTGTAATCCCTATGTATATGCAGGTGTTTTATATTCATGGATTTTATGGAAAATGTGGTACATTTGCATAATGACTGCAATGTTTTCAATGCTCAATCTAAGCACTGTTTTTTCAATGCTGATGGCATTTGAATAATAGTGTAATGTGTCCCATCATCTGTGAAACTGAAGAATGTGGACGCTACGCACAGAGTCTCTCAGGCATTTTATCATAGTGTACTAGCTGAAATAGCAGTAAAAGTTCATTATTTTAATTAGTTAAGCCAGTACCACATATTAAATGACAGATCCTGAAAATGTGAAATTGCAGAAAAAACTAAGACTGCAAAAAAAGTCTCTAAGTAGTTGCTTTAATTTCTTGTTTAAAAAGCATATTAGAATGATTTCTGATGGATCATGTGACATTGAAGTCTGGAGTAATGGCAATTTCATTATAGGTATAAATTGCATTTCAAAATATATTAAAATAACAGTTATTGTAAATTGTAATAATACTGATTTAATTGTATTTTTGATCAAATAAATGCAGCTTTGATGAGCATAAGATCTTTCTTGATGAGCATAAGATCTTTCAGAAACATAAAAAAACTGTACTGTTTATGTAGTTCTGTAGTTTCCTCATGCTAAATACTGTTTACATTTCTTGGGTTGATTTTATAATGGGTTTATTACATGTATATCCACATAAAATCTGTCTCTTGCATCAGATTCATTCTTGAGGAATCGTTCCAGTATGGACCATGAGGCCACCGCTATGATGAAAGCCCAGTTCATGAGTCTGTGGGATGGACTAGACACAAACGCAAGCAGCCAGGTAACACACACATATGTAGGTTTCAGAGGTCATTGCATTTCCTCAAAAGTGATTAATAGAACGTAAAAGTGTAATGATATGTCAATGTCCAGGTAATGGTGATGGGGGCCACAAACAGACCACAGGATGTGGATGCAGCAATACTGCGCAGAATGCCCACAACCTTTCATGTAGGCCTGCCTGTGAGTTTGCTGAACACAGACACACACACACCTTTATGCTCTGTTTTTGTTAATAGGCTGTCTTAATCAGGATAAAACATTGGACCAAAAATTATTTTTGGTCCAATTTCAGAATGCAGCTCAAAGAGAAGAAATCCTTAGACTTATTCTGTCTGGAGAAAATGTAAGACATTAAGCTCTTCTTCATCTGCACCACAATTCCTTCACAAAATGTTTTGTCTTTAAATATAATGCTTATATTAAAGGTGAAGTGGCAGAAATCCATATATTTACACAACCATTCAAAAGTTCGGGGTCAGTTAGGTTTTGAAGTGGATATAAATACGGAATCACAAATACAGTAAACACTGTAATATTGTGAAATAATATTACAATTTAAATTAAGTGTTTTCTGTTTGAATATATTTTAAAATATAATGAATTCCTGTGATAACAAAACTGAATTTTCAGCAGCCATGCATTACTCCAGTCTTCAGTGTCACATGATCCTTCAGAAATCATTCTAATATGATGATTTAATGGTCAAGAAACATTGCTTCTTATTATCATTGTTGAAAACAGTTGTGCTGCTTAATATTTTTGTGGAAACCAGATTCTTTGTTGGATATAAATTTCAAACGAACAGTATTTATTTGAAATAGATGCAATTTATTGCATCTTCGCTGTATAAAAGCATTCATTAAAAAAATCTCACTGACCCCAAACGTTTGAACGGTAGCGTATAGCCTATATATAAATTATTTTATTTGAATCTTTTTTTCATCAGTTAAGTAATGCAATTAACCTGAAAGAAATAGCGGATCAAACCGAGGGCTACTCCGGCAGTGATCTGAAAGAGCTTTGCAGGGACGCTGCCATGTACCGCGTTAGAGACTATGTCCGCAAACAGCAGATGAAACAGATCGCACAACAGTTCCAGCTGGATGAAGAAGAGTACGTCTAAGATGTTTTGTATAATAACACACACACACACACAATGGTGGCATTTTATTTGTGTACACAACATGCAGCTCGTGCACCATGTCCTAACCAAAGAGGTTTATAATATCTGGAGAAATCTGTCCCATTAATCTCAAGTAGTTGTTCAGCTGGTTCATTCTTCTGCTTTGTTAGAAGAGAAACAGTTCAACATATTCTTGAGTATTCTTAGGAGTTTTGAAATGCTGTATAAATATGCACTAATGCATGTAAAAAGTACATTACTCATCACTGATTTTGTCCTGGTGTCCTCTGGTGTGTCCACAGGCATGTGGACAGCACGCAGCTGAGGCCCGTGACTCAACTGGACCTGCTGTTTGGCCTAGATAAGATGAGAGAATCCAAACAGGCCACAGCTACAGCTGACCCAGCAAATCTGAGAGAGGTGCCTCTGGACTGAAAACCTCTCACTTTACACGCTCATACACTCATTTTATCTCTCTCACTTCTTTCTTTCTGCCTCATCTTTTGCCTTTCCTTTTTAAATTATTTTTCTTCGTCTTTCACATTTGTTACATCTTAAACATTTTAAGTTTGCACTATAATGAATTTACCGTCAGATACTCAAGACAGTAACCATGTGCATATTTATAATAACAGTAGCCATTAATAGTACACGCACACTAATTCTAATATGATGATTTAATGGTCAAGAAACATTGCTTCTTATTATCATTGTTGAAAACAGTTGTGCTGCTTAATATTTTTGTGGAAACCAGATTCTTTGTTGGATATAAATTTCAAACGAACAGTATTTATTTGAAATAGATGCAATTTATTGCATCTTCGCTGTATAAAAGCATTCATTAAAAAAATCTCACTGACCCCAAACGTTTGAACGGTAGCGTATAGCCTATATATAAATTATTTTATTTGAATCTTTTTTTCATCAGTTAAGTAATGCAATTAACCTGAAAGAAATAGCGGATCAAACCGAGGGCTACTCCGGCAGTGATCTGAAAGAGCTTTGCAGGGACGCTGCCATGTACCGCGTTAGAGACTATGTCCGCAAACAGCAGATGAAACAGATCGCACAACAGTTCCAGCTGGATGAAGAAGAGTACGTCTAAGATGTTTTGTATAATAACACACACACACACACACACACAATGGTGGCATTTTATTTGTGTACACAACATGCAGCTCGTGCACCATGTCCTAACCAAAGAGGTTTATAATATCTGGAGAAATCTGTCCCATTAATCTCAAGTAGTTGTTCAGCTGGTTCATTCTTCTGCTTTGTTAGAAGAGAAACAGTTCAACATATTCTTGAGTATTCTTAGGAGTTTTGAAATGCTGTATAAATATGCACTAATGCATGTAAAAAGTACATTACTCATCACTGATTTTGTCCTGGTGTCCTCTGGTGTGTCCACAGGCATGTGGACAGCACGCAGCTGAGGCCCGTGACTCAACTGGACCTGCTGTTTGGCCTAGATAAGATGAGAGAATCCAAACAGGCCACAGCTACAGCTGACCCAGCAAATCTGAGAGAGGTGCCTCTGGACTGAAAACCTCTCACTTTACACGCTCATACACTCATTTTATCTCTCTCACTTCTTTCTTTCTGCCTCATCTTTTGCCTTTCCTTTTTAAATTATTTTTCTTCGTCTTTCACATTTGTTACATCTTAAACATTTTAAGTTTGCACTATAATGAATTTACCGTCAGATACTCAAGACAGTAACCATGTGCATATTTATAATAACAGTAGTCATTAATAGTACACGCACACTAAATGGAGTTTCATTATTCTTCAGCATTTTAAATTGTTTAAGTTATTTCTGTTATGATCAACTGTTGGTTGCATATTGTGTAGAAGCAGATGCCCACTTTTTTGGATATGAGAGAGAGGAATATAAACTTTGCTATATCTATAAATGTTTTAGTAATCAGGACCAGGTTTCCTGAAACACTGAGTGTTGTCTAACTGTCTTATTAGGATGCATGAGTATTACACTAATGTTAAACTGAATAGTGCATGTGTGACTTTGTCAACACCAATTTAGCCATGATAATAATAATAATTTGTGTCAGGAACATGTCTGGGTCATATTCAACCCAAAATCAAAAGAAAAATTAGGCCATGCATTTGTTTCTTTTACACTGTGACATTATTTTCAAGACAATTAATCTTAATTTTCACAGTAATGTGGGTAATGATTTAAAAGTATCTATATTTTATAAAAGTATTTTTTATTATATGTAAATATATATATATATATATATATATATATATATATATATATATTATATTATAGTAATAAAAAATATTTTTTTATGTTACTAGAAATAAAAATAGAGAAATTATTCTCTTTTGGTTTTGGGGTGAAATATTTTTTTTGTGAGATCCAGCTGACTAGACATTTACATTTTGTTTGTTTGTGAACAACAGCATTTAGTAGTATAGTAAAAATATCTAAAAAGCGTATTTTACACTGAATGAAATTGCTCTCAAGGTTCATATAGACTATATAGGACCATTTAGTGACCACTTGAATAAAAGTTGGACACAGGAACAAATGGTGCTAGATGCATCTCTACTAAGAAGTAATTGTTTTTCATTGGATAGTGAAAGACGTTAAGCATCTGTCATATATTGATATTCAGATGAGTCTTGAGTGTGTTTAGAAAGATTTAGCTTGGAACATAACTAATATATCACTCAAAGTGTCAAACCAGCATCATAATACTCATTTATCAGGTACTAATATGGGCACAAAGACCAGCTTATTTCTTGAAACTACCAGTTTTGTCTGTCCTCACAGAAGTTTCTGGCCTTTCACCTGCTCTAAATGCAAAATTTTTGCTTTTGTCAAACCGCTCAAAAAATTTAAGCAAGTGTTTGATGATTACTGTGTGTGTTATATGCCAGCTGATGTGAGTAGGGAAAATGTGCTTGGCACCTTGATTAATGGTCCATCAAACATTGCAAAGAAATGTCTTTATTTATTCAGATTCATGTTGTTGTGTTTTGTTTTGTTTTGTTATGTCATGGGCATTTTCAATGATTTAACAATGTGATATATTTAACATGTAAATATGCTGGTTTGGTGAACTGTGCCAGCACTAATTCCATGCTTGTGGAGAGACTTTAATGCTGCTCTGTTCTGCTTTGAATGTTTGTTGTTCCAGTTTGGTAATCAGGTACTTGGTTTTTTTATAATGAGCAATATAAAGAGAGAAGGGGAAATTATCTCAAATCTTCTGCTTGCTGTTTGTTGTTAAAATCACCTTCTGTTATTGCATAAAATCTTGGTCATAAAGGAATAGTTCACCTAAAAATCCAAATTTGATGAAAATACACCCTCATGCCTTCCAAAATGTAGATGAGTTTTTTCTTCACTGTAACAGATTTGGAGAAATGTAGCATTACATCACTTGCACACCAGTGGATCCTCTGCAGTGAATGGGTGCCGTCAGAATGAGAGTTCAGACAGCTGATGAAAACATCTCAATAATTCACAAGTAATCAACATAACTTCAGCCCATCAATTAATGTCTTGTGAAGCAAAAAGCTGCATGTTTGTAAGAAACAAATACATCATTAAAGCATTTAGCTTTAAACCGTCACTTCTGGCCAATAATAATTCACAAGTAATCTACAGTACTCCAGTCCATCAATTAACATCTTGTGAAGAGAAAAGCTGCAAGGTGGTAATGAACAAATCCATCAAGAATTTTTTAACTTCAAACCATTGCATCTCTATCCATAATATTGCATGAAAAAGTAATCTCATCTGAATTGGAACAGAAATATGCAAAGAAGTATGCCATTGTTTACAAGTGAAAACAGTTATAAACACGTATGTCAGTGGATTTTGATATGAAAGAACAGCAGGACTTTTTCAGTGCAGGAAGTGTTATTATGGATTATGGACTGGTATTTTGGCTAGACTTCAGCCCATCAATTAATGTCTTGTGAAGAGAAAAGCTGCAAGGTGGTAATGAACAAATCCATCAAGAAGTTTTTAACTTCAAACCATTGCATCTCTATCCATAATATTGCATGAAAAAGTAATCTCATCTGAATTGGAACAGAAATATGCAAAGAAGTATGCCATTGTTTACAAGTGAAAACAGTTATAAACACGTATGTCAGTGGATTTTGATATGAAAGAACAGCAGGACTTTTTCAGTGCAGGAAGCGTTATTATGGATTATGGACTGGTATTTTGGCTAGAAGTGACGGTTTAAAGCTAAATGCTTTAATGACGTATTTGTTTCTTACAAACATGCAGCTTTTTGCTTCACAAGACATTAATTGATGGGCTGAAGTTATGTTGATTACTTGTGAATTATTGTGTTGTTTTTATCAGCTGTTTGAACTCTCATTCTGACGGCACCCATTCACTGCAGAGGATACACTGGTGTGCAAGTGATGCAATGCTACATTTCTCCAAATCTGTTCCGATGAAGAAACAAACTCATCTACATTTTGGGTGGCCTGAAAAAAATGTAAGCAAATGTTTATTTTTGGGTGAACTATTTGTTTAATGTTGGTATAGTTTTACTGAAAATACTGTTTCCCTGTTAAATTCCGTAATCTTTACTTGATTATCTCTGGGCGAGAAAGCAATTATTCACTTAAGTTGTCTTGCTAAATTTAAGATAAAATGCTTCTCTCACACCAGTAACTCACCCCAGCATGACAGTGTTACATAAATCCATCTGGAATGTATTAAATACTTGTTGTCAGAATCATGTGCATCAGTCAGTAAAAATGCAAACCCTCACAGTTCCTAATGTTAACATTAATCTTTGGCCTTTTCACCATCTCCACACATGTACAGAGCATTCTGTTCTTAAAATATGATTACAAGAGGCACACATAAGAGAAGCTGTTGACATTCAGCTCTTTGCTGTACTTTGTGCCTCGTTTGCATCAAAATTGCATAACCTTTCTGTTATAGCCATGAGTCATAATTTTCTTTGCATCAAAAAGCTCTTTCATCACTTTTCTCTATTCTTCAGTAAACAGTCAAAAATAGAAACGGAGAGAAAATAGACATAGAACTTGTGTCAGTGAGTGCATTGCTTTGTTTAGGTCAGGCCTGTCATTGCTAATTTTTCCCCTGTAAAAGTTGAATAACTGATAGTTATATATTAGCTTTTGAATATCGCAAAGTATGCTTTTTAACCAGTGGCCAGTTGTAAAGACTAGTCTTAAAAGTTAGACACCTCATTTTTTTCTGCAAGACTGGTCATAATTTTTTTTAAAGTCAGTTACATAAAAATGTAGATTGATCTAATTTGAATCTGAAAAGACAGACTGATAACCACTTGGTTAACTGCTAGTTAGTCAAACTAGTTCTTAAGACAGTCTTAACGTGGTGACTATGTTTATGCAACTGGCCCCTGGATTTGCACAGGAAAAAAGTTTTTATCACCGTCTGCGATAGGAGTCCACAAGAGGGCAGTATTTGTATTGAAATATTTCTGAGACTTGCAAACGTTCTTTAAATGAGTGTTTAAAGGAATAGTTCACCTAAAGCCCAAACTTTTAAGAGAAATTCTGAAAATGATGCTAGTGTTTTATTTTTCATCAAATTGCCATGAATGGGAACTGACACTTTCAAGATTCTAAAAGGAGTCAATGTGACTTGTGTGCTATATTCTAAGACTTTTGAAGGCATATAATAGTTTTACGTCAGGGATGGACCTGAATTTAAGTCATTATTTACTGAAAATATTGAAATCTACCCTAGCTCTTGTTGACACATTTGTGGGACAAGAAACAAAATAGTCTGGTGAATGAATATATATATAACACTAAAAAATATGCAGAAAGAAGATACGAGTACTTGCATTTATTTGGGATTATTTTTCACAGGTAGATACTACAGGTATGGTATGTACATGTTTAACAATAATATACAGACCAGATGTCATCAGTGTGTATTGTGTATTGTATCATATCAAAGATGGATCATCATCTGTTGTTTGCATATTCTGTACGGTCTGTTTTGATGTATGATTAAGGGGCACATGCTACATGCTGTTGTACTGATTACTGCATCTTTAAATGAGTAGTAAAATCAGTGCCTGATGTCTCAAAACAGGACCAACTGAAGTACACTGGAAAAAAAGGGAAAACACAGATTGTCTGATTTGCTCAATCATATTACTGATTATGATGGGCAAATTGTTTTTGATGATGACATAAAAGAAACTTTAGTTCCCAGCATGCTTTGCATGGGAATTAAAGGGGAGAGTAAAAATGTTGAAATTAAGCATAATTTGTTGTGTGTTTTTGAGCAAGATAAGAAAAGAGGGAAATAGATATAATGTTTTATTATGTTGATTTATAACAATTTCCGTTAAACTGGGTTACCATTGGTGAAGAGTGGGGCTTTTGCTTAGGCTGAGGACAGGTACATGTCTTTCCTGCTATAAAGCAACTGTATATAAGTTTCTTTTTTATCTTCTTTTTCAGTGATATATGTACCACAATGAAACCACTCACTTAACTGTAGGTTTGTTAGCTAGCTAGCTAGGTAGTATAAAAAATTTTTTTTACTTTCTCACAATTCTGGCTCTTTTTTTTCTCCCGAGTTTAAAAAAATTGCAATTATCTTTAATTTTTTTCCCCCGTGGTGGAAACAAGCTTCCATAAGCTAGTACTATATTACAGTTGAATTAATTGAATCCTGCAGGGAACCGCATCAAATCACTTTGAGACTTTCAATTGGTTCAAAGTGTGTGTGTGTGTGTATATATATATATATACACAGTGGTGTGAAAAAGTTTTTGCCCCCTTCCTGTTTTTTTAATTGTTTGCATATTTGTCACACTTAAAAGATTCAGATCATCAAACAAATTTTAATATTACACAAAGATAAATAAAGTAAATACAAACTGCAGTTTTTAAATTATGATTTCATTTATTAAGGGAAAAAAGCTGTCCAAACCTACCTCCCTACGTGAAAAATTATTTGCCCCTCCTCTTAAATCATGAAAGAACTGTGATTAACCACATTATTTTAGAAAGGACCAGACAGTGTGTGTGTGTGTGTGTGTGTGTGTGTGTGTGTGTGAGAGAGAGAGAGAGAGTGTGTGTGTGGTATGTGTGTGTG